TATTCAGACTATAAACACCAATATAGCTCAAGCTCATTGTAAATAAGTAGCCTATAAAACTATACAGACAGTGTGTGAGTAAAGATTAAAATTCCTTTATGTGGAAAACTGTTAAGACAGCATCCACAGCTTTGCAAAACGGACGTGTCATTCTTCTTCTTCCTTTTCAAAGTGTGTAAATGAATAAATAAATAATGAAAACTACATTTTGCAACCATAGACTGGATACTGGAGAATAAGTTCTCCAAATACGCGTGCACAGACTGAGAGTTTCAGTCGTCTCCTGCCTTTAAAGCGAGGTTTGTCCCGTCCTGTGGATACAATCAACGCTCGGTCTGTCGTTTATCTACGAGCGTCTAAAAGCGACATCAAAGCTCTTCTTACCTGCTACAAACGGGGCCTGCTGATTACAGAGTGTCGCTTAGAAGTCCAAAGCTGACCGGTGAGAGGTGTGGTGGGCTGTTTCCCGCACCGGTCCGCTCACCATGCCAGTGCTGCTGCTGCTGCTCCTCCAGCCCGGCACGGCTCGACTCCGAGCCGCTGCGGATCGAGGGCAGACCGAGATCAAAGGCAGAGAGAGGAAGGGAGGGAGGGAGAGGGGTTGGCTTTCTGGATACGAAGCGCGTGTATCTGATCTGTGATCAGCCTGTCTACATCAAAGACCCGGTCTCTCTCTCTCACGCACACACACGCACACACACGCACACACCTACACTGCTCCACAGGCTGATCAGTAGTACCGTTTCCATTCAGCTGGTTTCTATCGAGATGTTTTACAAACCCTCTGTCTGTGCGTGCTTTATTTGATGCCTTTGCTTTGCCCTTGTGTGCTGGCCCGTGTGGTCCCACGGCCCCCTCTGACCTCACACGTTAAACTAGTTTAAAGGAAAAGTTAACACAGCAGAGTTGTTTAGCCTGCCTGCTTTTCTCCTTCTAACTTGGCCACATTTATTTATTTGCTAAGCCCTCATCTCTGCTGCAGATTTTATGATGTCAGCGTGCTGCTTCACCATTGGCTGAGCCTGTGCTTAATCCATCTAATAGGAAGAGCAGAGTTCAGGGGATATACAGCGACTACTGCAGTAATTCAGTGTAAATATCGGCTCTTGAATCCTCTCTCTGATGTAAGATGAAGGTGTTAACGGTGAGTTCAGAGCTTTTGACGTAGCCTGTTATTTTCTTCATTGTCCTTGTTTTTTTCTCTCTCTCCTTTTAATACTGTTGGTTAACTTGTAAAAAAGAGTGGCAACCAGAAGAAAACTGATTTTCCAAAGCCCACTCTGAAACAAAAAGTTCGTATATCCACCTGAGGTAGAAAAAAGTGAGCAGTGTGCACACTGGTGTGTGTGTCTGAACCAAGGCAAAGACACAGAGGACAAAAGTTCAGCACTGCAGTAAAAGTGGCCAATTACTGTACATGTCTGGACACGCTGTGTATCGATTCCAGGAAGCTCACTGTGTGCTTTGCAAATGTTACTTTGAATGTTATATGTAATCCAATTACTTCACGTAGTCTATGTGGCAGGTAAATACTTTCTCTTGCAGTACTTTCCAAAAGTAAAAGTCTTTGACCTTGCAAAGGCTGAACTACGAAAAAATTGCCAGAAAATTCTTCTTCTTCTTTTTTTTTTTAAATCTGGAGTGTTTATTGAACAGTCTAACAGTTTTTCTTTTCAAACATCAGTTTGCATAGGTGGGTTTTAATTTGTATCAGGGAGGTTTTGTTTCGTTTTGTTTTTAAAAAAAGCATTTTTGTGCAATGTATTGCTTAAAAATGTATTGTGTAATTTTTTAAAGGTTGTCAAGAAATCAAACTGATGATGCAGAGGTCTGAAAAACTCACAAAAACTCATGTATTAAATATGATGGACTTGGCGTTATTGGGTTAAGTATTTCTCATGATGTCACACGTAGCAGTTTAAGTAGTAGTTTAATGTTAGCAGTCCCATGAAAATATTCTCATTTCTGTGATTCATGTTTTTATGGCCTGTATTCATTCGTTTCCATCAAATCTATAAATCACTGCGTGTCTGTAGCCTGAGTCCTCTAGCTGTGGGAAGACGTCACTGCAAGCCAAACCTTTCTTCCTGGAGCTTTGCTGCTGTCGCCATCTACTGGTGCAGGTGATTTAAAAATGCATGGACTTTGTGCACACTGTGTACAGTGAATATAATCAGTATTCAACAATAACACTTATAGTATTATCCCAGAAAACAATTAGCCAACTCTGTTATCCTCTAATACCGTTCCCTGTGTCTGAAGGCCTCCACCATAACTTCCATCCCCAAAAGACTCATATAGAGAGCCTCAATGACTACAGACCTATAGCCCTCACATCAGTACTTATGAAGTGTTTTGAGTGAATAGCAAATTGATCTACAGAGGATGCCATCACCATCAGCCTTCACAGAGAGCTGAGCCATCTGGAGAACAGGGAGATCTACTTGAGGATGTTCTTTGCGGACTACATCTCAGCATTCAACACCATAATACCAGACGTCCTCACCACCTGCTCCTGGATCAAAGAAAGACTTCCTAACCAACTGGCCTTAATCTACCACTCCTAGATTGGGGAGCGTGCTTTCCTACTGCCTCGCTGTTTGGTATGCAGAAGCCACAACTGAGAAGAGGAAGCCTATGCAAAGGGTAAAAATCATTAGCATCTCTCTGACACCCCTGGAGGCCATCACCACATCCTCCTGTCTCAGGAAAACCAGGGCCATCATAGGTGACCCCTTCCAACCTGCCCACCACCTATTTGACTCCCTGGCCTCTGGTTGGCACCTCAGGTCAATGAGATCCCACACATCCAGACTCACAAGCAGCTTCTTCCCCTGGGCCATTCAGACTGTTAACAAACACTATTCCCTCCCCCCAACCACCCCTGCCCACTCATTTCACCAATCTGGTCTGATGGTCGCCATCACGCAGGCCACTCACACACAGACGCTATTCAGACCAAGTCCTTTGCACTAGTCAGTCACATTTATGACAGGAGAGCATATGGGTGTAATGACTGTTAACCTCACATCATTTGATGGAGGTGCTGGAGAGACTAGTTCTGCCCCTCTGCAGTCTGCACACAGACAAAATCTGGGAGTGGAAGATGTTATCATGCTGCAGAGGAACACCTTTAAAAGTGCATTTAGCACTATCCAGCTGCTGCTATCGAGGGAGACTCTAAAGGAAATGTCTTTAAACATGTACCTGATTTTGTGGATTACTGTTCACATGACAGACAGGTTGCAGCATATGAGACTGGGCAGTGCTCTGTCTGATATGACAATCTGCAGCACGGTAACTCCACCGGGGCTGTGTTGCCTCCATTCCTGTTTACCTTGTACACCTCAGACTTTTAACACAGTCTACAGAAGGACTCTGATGGTTCTGCAGAGGCTGGATGTATAAGTAATAAATAAGACCGCAGAAATGGTGATTAACTTCAAGGTGAAAAGGAGAGCTACACATCTCTCTATCCTGGGACAGGATGTTGATGTTGTTGGAGGACCACAAGTATCCAGGCTCTCATCCTCTTCTTGTTTAAGCTGGGATCCTTCAACGTGTGCACCAAATATTAGCAATTTTTTCCACCAGTCAGCTCTGGTGACCACTGTGTACGCTGCTGTGTTCTTATACTACAGCATTATTGCATTACACATTTATACCAAAGTCCTTCAGAAGACCCATGTAAAAACTCATAATTTTCCTTTTTATCCTGTTATTTTCTACAGAGTATTCAATTTGATGCAGTATTGATTTAGTTCAATTCAATATTTATTTATAGAGTGCCAACTCACAACAAAATTTGCCACAGGGTGCTTTATATTGTAAGGTAAAGACCTTATAATAAAAGAAATAAAACCCCAACAATCAGACGTCTCCTATGAACAATAAGAAACTTGGCGACAGTGGGAAGAAAGAACTCATTTTCAACAGGAAGAAACCTCCAGCAGAACCAGGTTCAGGGAGGGGCAGCCATCTGCAGCGACCAGTTGGTTGGTGGGGAACAGGACAAAGACACACTATGAAGAGCCAGACTTTAATAATTACCAGTGATTAAATGCAGTAATGATGTATTAACATATAAAAAAAGTGGAAAAAAAGGTGAGTGAAGAAGAAACATTCAGTGTATTATGGGAAGCTTCCAGCAGCCTAAGCCCAGTGCAGTGTAACTAAGGGAGGATTCAGGGTCATCGAATTCATTCCTAACTATAAGCTTTATCGAAACAGGAACGTTTTAAGCCTCAATAGTAGAGAGGGTGGCTGTCTTCCAAAACCAAACTGGGAGCTGGTTTCACAGAAGAGGGGACCGAAAGCTGAAGGTTCTGGGTCCCATTCTATTTTTAAATACCCAAGAAACCACAAGTAAGCCTGCAGTCTCAGAGCAAAGTGCTCTATTAGAATAACAAGGCACAAGAGGACTTTAAGCTATGACAGGGACTCATATATTTAACATTATTTAAGATTTTGTATGTCAGGAGCATAATTTTAGATCCAATTCTGGATTTAACAGAGAGCCAATGAAGAGAAGCCAATATGGGAGAAATATGCTCTCTCTTTCTAGTCCCTGTCAGTACTCTTTCTGCGGCATTTTGGATTTCAGTTTTTAGAGTGACCTGATGATAATATATCACAGCCTAGAAGTAATAAATGCATGAACTAGCAAATACAAGAAAGCAGTCCTACATTGTTATTTTATATTCTCACTGAAGCATCAAAAATGTGATGTGAGTAAGTGATGGCCCATCTGAAGTGGACACATTCTCTTCTTCTCGATTACATTTACCACACTTGTGTCTTTTTCTCACTCTTCTGCCACTGAGCCCCTACATTATTACTTTTAAAAATATTATTAACTGGATTGTTTGTTCTAGTCTACAACATTTTGCACTCTGTATAATGCACAGTGTCTATTCGCCCATCCCATAATATGCTAGTGTGGTGCGTCCCATCGGACGTTTCCACAGATGCTGTCTCTTTAAGAGACCTGCGCGTTAAAACCTGCAGTATGAAACAAGTACAGAGGTGTTCACGCCTGTTAGAGATCACATCTGAGGGCTGATTCCGTTTAAACTAACATCCCTGGAGTGTTGGTGCGGTCATTTAAAGGAACCTGCGTCCTCCTCTGCGGAGCAGCAGGCAGTGCAGAGATGCTGCGCTGATGCTGCTGCGTTTCCTCATGTGAGTATCCTCCTCTCTCCAATGCGGCAATAATAAGATGTGGTCTGCTCGGGCGATAGAGCACTATAGGACGTGTATTTCGGCTCAGAGGATATTTTCAAATGATGTAGAAATTGCACGTCTATTGTTACAACATAGAAGTAGGGCTGCGTGGAATTGTTATCTTTATTATAGCATTGAATACCCGAAATCGCAGCACCAGGCTAAGTTTGAAGTGTTTTTTCTTGTTTTTTTAAAAAACGTATTTAGTAGACAGACTGCGTGTCCTCAGACAACCCAGCACGATCTAGCTTAGAGTAGGGTTATGTCTGAAGGTGCTGGGAGTCCTTGACTTTCAAGTGATGATGTCACTTTTCTACGTAAATCTGCCCTAAGGTATTGCACCACACTCTCAAATATAGAGTGGATAGGCTTTATGATTCCTGCCAAAGACACCAGTATGACAACAGCCTCTATATATTGAGAGCATACCCAGAGAGCAGAAGAGATAAAGGTGGTATATTTCACTGAGAAATATACTGAGAAATTAATTCTGTAGGATTTTAATGTGATGGCGACAGGCCTCATGTCTCTGCCAGTGTTTCTCCTCTACAAAGTTGATTTGCGCATCTTTGACTGCAGTGTGCTGGCGTCTGAGCTCTTTGGTTGAGACTCCAACTCCCAGAAGTCAGCAGGTTAAGCCGCTTAGACTGGTGAAAAGTAACGCAAAGTATATTGGAAGGAGTTCACATTTGGAAGCACACATGCCAATTCTAGCACACTTCACTTTTCCCCACCATATTAGAAAACAGTATGTTGGGTTAGCAGCATTTTTGTTGTTTTTGCTGCTGATGTCATTATATATAGAGATGGTGCCACTTGGTTTAATTGTAGAGAAAATCAATAAATGTCTCCTAACCAATAAAACAATGACATTGTAAAATAAATAAGTCAATCAAAAATAATTAGAAGCAGGAAGTTACATTTCCAGTGACATAAAGGAGGATTAAGTGTTCACTTTCTTTAAAATAATTGCACAACTAACTTTAAAGAGGCTTTTAAATGTTAATTTTCATACATGTAGTTTGTTATCCCTCATGTCACATTTCATTTTGCATTAAATTACATTTTCCATTTTGTGCCCAACTGCTTTGACTTCAAATGTGTGAAATGGTGCCCCCTAAATAATTAATGAGCTTACTGACAAGGCAACAACACAGGTTCTGATTGGCCAGCCGGAAAAATTTATAGATGCAGATTATTTAAAGACCAACAACAGTCAATAATAGACTTACGTTCACTTGTAAGAACATGGAAAGCTCTATATTTTTTTCATTTATTGTAAGAAGGCGGCTGTTTGATGCTAAATTTTGGCACAGTTTATATTCCACGGGAATCCTTTCCATGTATAGATGTATCTTTCTATTAAATATTAAGTGAACGTGATTTTTTTTTAGTATTAAATGATGGATTTTATACACACTAAAACCTTGGTAGTGCTGCAGCGGCAAGTCGCTCAACAGGTTACTTCCGGATCACGGAAAAGAACACAGAGCGAGCTTTTGATTTTTTATAGTCTTTGCTGACCGCGTGACCTTAATTGATTTACAGATTAACTGGAACCTAGTGCATATTGTTGTGCAGATTAATAATGTTGAAAGATAGTTATTAGTACAGTCAGTTAAAGAATAGAAAAATTATTACTGAGAAAAATCCTAAAGGGAGATTTTTTTCGTTAATGTGCTTCTACGCATGCGCCTACAAAATTGGTCACCACACCACTGCATCACGTTACAGGAGAAACTTATAATAATGAATTCACGCTTGCAGAAGAAAATATTCAAATATATTTGAAATATCTCAGTGAATTCACACCCAGAAGAAAGACAACAGTTAATTAAAGGTTAGTTGAGACTGCTTAGTCTTCCTGACGGGCTTTAAGACGAAGCGGAAGTAACCGCCCGGGAATCCTCTCGCTTCGTATTCCCCCGTTTTGCTCTCACGCTCAGTGTAATTCATTATTATTAGAACATCGCCTTTGAAGGAGTCGGTGTGTAGTTGGGGGATCTAACAGTGTCATTTGCTATTGTTGTTGCGATTGTTTCCAGGAATACCGAGTGCCGTGAAATGTCTCTGCTTTTCGAGAGGACCATTATCGGCGCGCGCTGGACACACACAAGTGAGTGGGGTTTGTTGGGATAACGCTCCTAAAGAGGCTCAGTGGAAAAATAACAACCGGCACCGGCGGTGTACGGCCACAACGAAAACTCTCAGACAAATCACATCAACACATAAATGCTATATATATGTGTGTAATACGTCACCGAGAGGACTGGTATAAATTTACCGGACTGTCAAGGGGCAGGTGATGGAAAATAACGGTTTTCTTGTTTCACGACAGCCTTTTCTCGGATGGTGTATTCCTGCGCGCAGTGGGGAAGATAGTCCAATGAACGTGTATGTGCTGGGACACAAAGCAGCAGCGACATGGCAAACTGTCCAGACCCCTGGTAAGTTTCCTGTTTGCTGTCATATACTCCTGGCAACATGTAACATACGGAATATTTGCAGCTGATAGCCCTCCTATAATTCCTCGGTAGTTGAGGTGTTCAGACTTCAAAGTGAATATCTCAACTAACAGTCAAGGCAGGAATAACAACTTTTTTTACAGCTTCCCTTTATGGACCAGGCATAAACGTTTCGGCAAAATGGTTCTATTGCCCGTGTAAAAGTAAATAATCACTGTAATGCTTTTTAACCATCCTCTGCTGGATCTGGTTGCCACACCCACCCAGCTACAGTGGTCCAGAGGGACTTAACCACAAAGCTCCAATGGCCTCCTGCTGAATGAGCAGAAATATATTGTTTTATTTCTGTTAACAGGTTAGCCTAAGGTTTTGTTATTCAACCGCAACAACCACATAGTTTCTAGAAATAGCAGGGTTGTTTTTTTTGTTTTGGTTTTTTTTTTTCCGGGGGGGGGGGGCTTATTGTCAGGAAACAGCACAGCTCTTGAAGGCTTTGAGAGATCAATGATCTTGGGTGGGACTGCAGTAAGGTTTCAGTTTTAAGGATGTGATAGGATGGTCAGTTAGTTCAATTAAAATATATTTATATAGTCCCATTTCACAACCACAGTTGCCTCAATACGCTTTAAATTGTAAGGTAAAGACCCTAGAGTCTTAAAGAAAAGCCCAACAATCACACAACCCCCTATGAGCAAGCACTTGGTGGTAGTAGGTAGGAAAAAGTCCCTATTTTACAGGAAGAAGCCTCTATCAGAAGCAGGCTCAGCCATCTGCCTTAACCGTTTGGGGGTGAAGAGAAAGAGAAGAGAGCAGTGTTCTCAATATGATATTGTAGAACTTTACACAGACATAAAATGGCATTAATGGACGGTTGGTATATGGATCTGGTGAAGAGTCCACGTTCTCATGTTTCTTCCAAACTTACACCTTGATCAATAGTGACTGTAAGCAAGACTCTTATTTCTTGTGATGAAATTTAACACCTTTCCTTCTTTGCTGCTGAATTGTAGTGTTGTCTCTGTTGGAAGATTATTATACATATGAAAAAATTGTTGCCATTGTTTGTTGTTAAAACTTGAAATGTGTGTTTGTATTTTCAAGGTTGCCATGGGTGACAGTTCGTCATGAGTGCATTGGCCTGAGGTCCTACCGGGTCTCTCCATTTACATCTGTTCAAGATGTCAAGCAGTTGCTGTACGAGGAGACAAACCTCCCAGTCAAAGAGCAACGACTGACTCACAATGGGAGAATGGTGAGCATTTATTTTTCTGTAATAGAAGAGTACAAATAAAACTGATAAGGACAACAATATAATTGTCATTTTAAACTTCCTTGAA